TAATAATGTTTTTTCTTTAAAAAAATAATATTTTCACATATTATTAAAATTTTTAATTTAAAAATTATTTTTAAATATTGATTAAAAGATGAATTTTTAAATATACTTTCTAAAAAATTTTAAAAAGATTAATAAAATATTTTTTTTCTTAAAAAAATAATATTTTCACATATTATTAAAATTTTTGTGAAATTTTTTAATTATCCAAATAAATCTTCATTAGCTATTGAGTCATAATGAATATTTTAAATTTTTTTATTGATATTTAATTATTAAAATATCTTAATTTTTCACAATTAAAAAAAAATCCCATTAGTACAAAAAAGGCAAAGAAAAGTGGGACACTGAGAGTTGACTGAAATGATGCGCTTAATTTCTTTGTCTTTGGGGAGAAATTGCGTGGTGGGATCAATTAAAAAGGAGCAACCACCCAACTTTCCCATCTTCATTTCTCTCCCAAAACCAAAGCTCAATCTTACAACCCTTTCCTGCAAACTCACCGATCGATTCAACTCTAAAGACTCTTTTGCTTTATCATGCAGTAGATCTTGTTTTCTTGTTCCAACATTGAACATTCCAAAGGAAATTAAAAGGAAAAAGGTACTAATTGTAGTTCACTTAACATGCGTCTAATTTAATTTGGTTTATTCATTCGCCTTCCCTTTTCTTTATGATTTTAACGACTAACAAAATAACTGCCCTTTTGCCTTGTTTTTCAGGTTCTGAAAGTGGTTATGATGGAATCAATCGAAGAAGACCATTCACTCAACTAAAATCAAAGTAGAATCCAAGACTACCATCTTCTGCACTTTCCCGTTTCCACCATCCAAACTCATCACTCTTCTTTTCTATCTTTAATTATGTGTGTTGGATGATGAACAAGAAAGCACCCAATGCTCAGTAATCTAGTCTTTTTTGGTGGAATAAACAAACAAAAAGCGATCACCTAACGTCTTCTTTGTCATTTCTCTCTTCTACGAAAACAAGAGCTCCCTAGACCCATACGTTGTTTGCTCTGCCATGATTCTTGTTTTCCCGTTCCAAGGCTCCTCCTTTGCAAGCTAGCTCCCAATATTGATCATTCTAGAGGAAATCCAAAGCCAAAGGTACATATATACATTTACTTAGATGCATCTCATTGTGGTTTGTCCATATATTATCTGCCTTGCTTTTCATTAATTATGTTTGACAACTAACAATTGTCGCCCTTTGGCAGTCTTTTCTGGTACTGAAACCGCGTGGAATAAACCAAAGCAAAGAAGAACCATCACTTAAATCAAAACTCAATCCAAGACCCATCTCTATTCATTTCCCTGTTCCACTCCAGATTCATCAAAAGGTAATTTGAAAAGATTATTTAGTTATATGTCTGCCTTGTGTTTTTATACCATTTACTTATACAAATACATTGAATTTATATAAAATTTTG